GGGGCTTGGAGCAACCTGGGCTAGTGGAAGGTGTCCCTGCCCATGGCAAGAGGTGAGATGAGATGAGCTTTAAGATCCCTTCCAACCCAAACCATTCTGGGATTCTGTGACTAAGGCTTTGCTGGCTGAACTCAGCCAGTGAGCTCCCATGCAAGGGGAAATCTCCACGGTGGAAACACAAAGGCAGAGTCTCCTGGTGTGCCCGGTCATGGGATGGTTCTTCTCCAAGCTCAGAGCAGTGGTGACACTCACTGGTGATGCTTCCAGGGGGAAAAACTTGTAACATCCCCTGGGGTGGCTGGAGCTGTTTGCATTTTATGGTGGAGAGAAAAAGGGAGGGGAGAGGAAGGAAAATATAATGCTAGAAAATCATTCTGCTGCTGCCCAGCCCTCATGTGTAATTATAAATGAGATTCGACCACAGCTTTGCTGGGTTTGATGCTTTCCAAGCCAGGAAAAGCAGCTTTGTTGCTCCTCAGCACCTCTTTGAGCAGGAAGGTCTTAAACAACAGCACGTTGTGGTCGTACAGGTGATGCTGTGACAAGAAACCATCCCAAGGGTACAAGAAGGAAAACCTTTCCCTGAGCCTGGGCCAGTGTGTTCCTGAGGGCTTGTTCCCCCTTGTTCCCTGGCAGATTTACTGACTCCAGCTCAGCTGGGGATGATTTTCAAGGCCAGTGGATGTGACCAGCAGGATAAGAAAATAAATTGTGCCTCTTCCCGCTACCGAACGATCACCGGCGAGTGCAACAACAGGTGAGGGGCTGAGCTGGAGGGCTGGGGGGCAACAGGACACGAGGAAATGGCCTCAGGCTGAGCCAGGAGAAGTTCAGGTTGGACATCAGGAGGAATTTCTTCATGGAAAGGGTTGTCAGACATTGGGAGGGGCAGCCCAGATGGTGGAGTCACCATCCAGTAATTACCATTCAGTGATGGCCTTCAAAAGAACCAAACAGCACAGGAACACTCCCAATCCAAATCCCCCAATTTCTATTCAAGGTCACTGGAAATGCCATTCAGAAGCCTCTGGCCCTTTTCCCTGGCATTAAGCCTCCAACTTTAGTTTCCACCCCTGGTCTGACGTTGAGGGCTCTTTTTCAGGCCAGATGACACCAAGGGTCACCTGACTTCTTGCCTGGGAGAAACTGAGGCTTGGGTTGGATTGTTAAAGGTCTTTTCATACCTAAACAATTCTATGATTACTGTTGTTATCATTATTAATCCTGAGGTTTATTGGTGCAGCAGCTCCCGGATCGTTGTCCGGTCCCATTCCAAGGTCCACGTCTCTCCACACCCATGAGCTCTTGGCTCTGCCATGATCCTGATGACACTAATTGTTTGCTCTTCTTCCATTCCCTCTGGCAGGAGGCACCCAACCCTAGGAGCCTCCAACAGAGCCCTGGCCAGGTGGCTGCCAGCACAGTACGAGGACGGCGTGTCCATCCCCCTTGGGTGGACAGAGGGAAGGCGCTTCTATGGGTTCCCTCTTCCCCTGGTAATGTTTGTAACAGTCACCTGAGAATGCACAGTCAGGGCCTGGGGATCTGCCAGTTCTTGGGCAGATCACAGGCAGCAAAATGTTCACCCACCAGCTGGACTGGGGGATTGGAGGAGGAACTTGGATTCACCAGCTGCAGAGTGATCCGATGAGAGCATCCAGGGGGATCCATCAGAAGGGCTCTCTAGCCTTCAGGAAAAGCAAAGGAAAATCAACCTGATTATGCAGAAGCACGAGATGAAGAAAGAATCATGCAATGTGTTCTTTCAAATTGAGTGCACTTAAGCCAAACTATTTTGCTCACCTGTTTTTTGATTTGGTTTGTGGCAGCAGGTCGTCTCCTGAAAAGCAACATGCCAGAGGACAAAGTGAGCAAAGGAACCCCCAGAATTAAAAATATCTGGCCAGAAATTCTGTGGGGGGGTCCCTGGGTGGGTGATCTGGGTGTGTGGCTCTGGTGGCACCTGAGTGGGAGCAGGGACATTGTGATGTGCCTTCTGGTCACTTGGATTTGATGCAACAAGGGCACTAATGAGGAGCTCCCTGACTTTCTGAGTTGTGCCTCATGCTCACATGTCCACTGTACTTCCTAACCCTCCTCCAGGGCACAGCACAGTGCCCACTTTCGTGCAGTAATAAATGAAGGAAGAACTGGTATGGGAATTGTGATGGGTGGGGAAAAGATAAGAAGGGAAGGCAGCCTTGGAATAATTTAAGAAATTCTCAGTGACTGTTTTTTGCACACTTCTATTTCAGAAATCTCTTTTACAATTTGTTTTGTCTCCCTTTGTCAGGCTTGCTTAGCTGCTTCCTTAAACCCACCAGGGGATAGTCTGGGCCTAGAGGCTCAGAACCCTGCCTAGAGCCAGACCAGTGCAGTGCTCAGTGAGGGGACACTCGGTGACACCTTCCGGCGCCGACAGATTTGGGTGGTTTTTTTGTCTGTGAAGCACAAGAAATGCCTTGTGGAATTTTACTGATGACCCCACGACCTGGTGCACCCCTTTGTCCAGGTCATTTCCCCACACACGTGTCCTGCCTCCATCCCTGCAGGTCCGGCGGGTGTCCAACGAGATCGTTCGCTTCCCACCGGAGCGGCTCCGGCTGGACCAGCGCAGGTCCCTCATGTTCGTGCAGTGGGGGCAGTTCATTGACCACGACCTGGATTTCAGTCCAGAAACCCCAGCCAGGTTCAGCTTTCGTGGTGAGACAGACTGTGACACCAGCTGTGCCAAGAAGCCTCCTTGCTTCCCCATCCAGGTACAGCCAGCTTCCTTCTTCCAGGGGACACAGGGAGAGGGCATCTGCCTTCCAACCAGGAGATGGTGGAGACAGGGAGAGGGAATCTTCCAAGCAGGAGATGGTAGTGGCTCTGCCAGCCCTTGGCCATGGGGGAACATCCTCCCAGAGCTGGCCAAGGGGGTTGGAACACCCTCTGTGCTGTCCCTGGGTGTCAGGCACAGTCACAGAGATACTCTCAGGACTTCTGGGGATGGGCCTGTGCGGGGATGAGGGTTGGACTCGACGATCCTTGCGGGTCCCTTCCAACCCAGCATATTCTGTGATTCAATCCAATATATATAAGTTATAGGGAAAAACTTTAGGAATCCATAGGACTGTATGGAAATCTAGGTGTCTCCAGGCTGTTTGGGACTTGGACTCCTAAAGGAGCACCTCTGCTGTCCACCTGACCCTCCATATCAGGCTTTATGGCTGATCTCCACCCTACCTGTGAGGTGGCTCTGCCACGGCTGTGCATCACCACGCGGCTCCTGCTGACGGATTCTCCTGTTCTCTTCCCTCAGATCCCACCCAACGACCCCCGAATCACCAACAGGAGGGATTGCCTGCCTTTCTTCCGCTCTGCCCCTGCCTGTACCCCGGGCAGGGGGGTCCGGGAGCAGGTCAATGCCCTCACCTCGTTCCTGGATGGCAGTGTGGTGTACGGCAGCGAGGTGGCCGTGGCCAACCGGCTGCGGGACCGGAGCCGCGGGCTGGGCCTGCTGGCTGTGAACCAGAACTTCACCGACAGGGGCAGGGCCTACATGCCCTTTGGGCCCATGAGGAAGGAGCCCTGTCTCAAGGCCAGTGGGGCAGCTCGAATCCCTTGCTTTTTTGCAGGTAAATCGGGTGTTTTCACCCTTGACCTGAAAACCAGAGCAAACAATTCCACTGGCTATGGTCGGTTCTTCAGGTTTTTCTTATTTGTTTTCCTCTTTCTCTTCCTCTTTCTCTTCCTCTCCCTCTTTCTCTCCCTCTTCCTCTCCCTCTTCCTCTCCCTCTTCCTCTCCCTCTTCCTCTCCCTCTTCCTCTCCCT